CCTTCCCCCCTGCCCCACCCCTGACGTTCTGTCCCTGACATTCTCTCCCTTGCGCCTAAGCCTCCGAGTCGTCGTAGGTCCTGCTGGCACTGGTGTTGTTCAGGTTGATTGTCCTCTTGGCAGGCTGAGGCCGGGCCGGGCCGCCGCTGTCCTTCACCGTGATGGTGCTGGGTCCCCCGCCCCCGCCCCAGGCACTGTCATCCTCCTCAGAAAACTGGGGACACAGAGGAGAGGGGAGAGGTCATGAGAGAAACCACTCATCATAGACTGGGGTAACTAGTAATTTTGCTTTTTTTTTTGTTTTTTACAACTCTGATATATACATTCTAGGGTAAAAGTCGCCTGAGAACTGTCTTGTCCAAAAGCGTACACAAGTAAAGAGGCACTTTGGACAAAATAGTTCTCAGGCGACGTAATGCCAACAACATCAACCAACATTTTGCTATGACAAATAAAAATGAAAAAATGAGCTTGCTCCATTCTGAATAAAAAGTAACCGTCAACTTGGTGAAAAGAAATTCAGCACGAACAAAAATTAACGAAAGTCAAGTTTTCAGGCTTTTTTGCAGAGACCAAAGAGTACACGGACATAGCAATGGTCGTAATACAATGAGAAAGACAGAAACGATGAGAAATAAAAAAAAAAGGACAGAAACGTTTTAGAGAAGGGTTTTCTGACCGGCGACAAAAACCACCATATTTTGTTGTGCGAGAAAGGAAAAAGGAGGGCCGACTACTACTAGTAGTACTAGCATCCCCTTTCAACTCTTTCACTACCTCGAGCTGTGCTTCACGGCTCGTGTTACTCGCAACACTGGACCGCGAGCTGTGTTTCACTGACTGCCACGTTCTGCTAAAAAAGCAGACCTACTTTTGTTATAATCAAAACCGAAATCTCAATCTGAAGAAGGATCATTTTTAGCAACATGTTGGGGTAGGTCATTAGTTCCCCTTTATTTTAAGGTACAAAACATGTGGCTAATATTGAAAATTGTACTCAAAATCTTTAATTTGTCAGAGGGTAGGGCAGAATCAGAAAGTAGGTGACAGACAAGCCCCAGTCCAGGTGAGGAAAACCCCCTGGTAGTGAAAGAGATAAACATAAATACATACATATTATATATATAATATACACATACACCCTTGAAAGAGCTGACATAAATTTAAAGGAACAAAATATTGATAAAAAGGACATATGGGATAAATACAACTTACATTTTCAACACAAAAGAGAAACAAACAAAAAAATTACAGAAAGGTTCCTATAGAGGTATTCTAAAACAATGTACTGTACGGATTTAATGGCTTTCATGCGTCTTCCAAAAGTGTAAGGGAATAAAAGAAGTGGGACCTCTGATTTAGCGTCCATCAACAACACAATTGAGCTGTGAGTGGAGAGCTATGAAAAAACACTCAAAACATTCAAAGCTCAAGAAAGGGGGTATGGATTCAAACTAGGTTCATGGGCATTGTGGTTTATGAACACATCAACTGAGCTTATAGTGCACTCTAGGTACTTCATGACTGAAAAAATTGAGATAAGGATAGGAGGAGCCAGAAAAAGGACTGAGTAGAGGTATCTTAAAAAAAGAAATGAGGGGAAATTATCTGGTTACCACATAAAATAAGAACTACGATGACAACAAAGAATCATGAACCAAACGGTCAAGTTGAGTATTAGCCTGGTAACGATGCTGCAAGCCCAAAGAACAAACCATGAAAGCTAGTCCGAGCAAGCAAAGAATCTATAGAAACGTCTAGGGACTACATCTCACATCACTGGGGGGTTGGTGAGGAATACTGTTCAGTCATGCACAATCAAACATTTGAGAGGCGTGCTGACAAAACAAGTTACTTCTTGCAATCCACAAATGGAGATAAAGAGTCCACGAACCGACACTAGGGTGAAATTTGTAAATTTTCCATTGATACCATTTACTTTAAGTTTAACTTTCCTTTAATATTTCATACTCATAAATTATACAAACTTCACCTATCAATACGATGCTTTCATTTCCATAGGGCTAAAACCCAAGAGGTAACTCATTTTGTCAGCACACTACACCTCACATACAGGCACCATCACCATAACAAAAGAAATTGAAGCAGGCCCAAACAAAACGGTGTTGTAAGTTGGATTACGTCGCCCGCCGGTCAAACAAGGGGCAGAAAGACTTCACTATGGCTGCTAATGAATTTAGTTTAATTTTAGTTTTAGTAAGTGTTTTACGGCAATTGCAACACAGTTAGGTCATGGAAGTGCTGAAGATTAAATGTGTTACAAGAGAGTAAAATACAAAGAAAAGAAGGAGGAGAGATAAGGACAATAGAATCTGATGTTTGATAGAAAAGAAGGAGCAGAGATAAGGACAATAGATGTTTGATAGAAAAGGAGTAGAGATTAGGACGATAGATGTTTGACAGATGATAAGGAGAGACTAGAACAATAGGTGTTTGATAGAAAAGGAGGAGAGGTAAGGACAATACATGTTTGATAGAAAAGAAGGAGGAGAGATAAATAAGGACAATAGATGTTCGATAGAAAAAAAGGACGAGAGATAAATAAGGAGAATAGATCTTTGATAGAAGAGAAGGAGGAGAGATAAATAAGGACAATAAATGTTCGATAGAAAAGAAGAAGCAAGAGCAACCGCAAACCACCCACAACGAAAAGGAAGAGAGATAAGGATGATGGATGTTTAGTAGGAAAGAAGGAGTAAATCATACTAAAGCACCACCAACCACCCACCCACCCAAAGGAGTTAAAATTTTTTTAGCCAAACCAGCCTATATCGGCCTTCCTGTCATGTTGCCATACCGGCTTTTACCAGCCTGACAAACCTGCCTTTAGTGCAGGCTTAGCTTAGCAACTGCCTGAAAACACCCAGGTCTGACAAAATGCACGGGTGATGGGGGGATCACCGTCGGCTGTCGCTGTTAATGACAACACATGCATGGCCACTGGAAACTATGCGTCACATGTTATGACTTATCATGACACATGCATGAGAGAAGAATAAAGAACCCCCAAAAAAACCAAGAACCACTGCATGTAACGTTTCACTATTGTTAACACGACAACGCGCATGGAGTGTGGGAGGGGATAGTGTGTTAGTAAGTGTCAGAGTTTTTTTTGTTTGTTTTTGTTTTTTCCTACTGCTGTCCTTTCGTGTATATAGTTAACTAGCTGGGCCCCCTTTTGATGGAAGGAATGATCGGTGCATTAAAATCAACTGAAAATCATTGGCCTACTATATTTACACTCTACTGGAATGGAGCAATAAATCTTGAGAGATGCAAAAAAATTAGGTCTAAATCTAGATCTATACTCTCTAAACAAAATGCGCCTCGCAAAATATCACTTCCGCACCAGATTTTCTAAAATTGAAAAGAGACAGAAGCATCGGCCTACAAAAGCGATCGGCGAAATAAAGAAATTTAGCTTTTTGCAGCAAAACAGTCTCAAAACTTAAAAAACGAAGGGCGTCATGATCTGGAGAATATTTTAAAGAATCTCTAGCGAAAACTGCATGTCGATCGATGCAGCCATTAAAAAGCCTTTCGAACAGCAAAATCCAGCCACCACAAATAGATATTAGATGTATGGTTTTGAAAGTTCTTCTTTATGTGGATGAACTGGTTTTTCTTGTTTCTGTGAAATATTTTTGCTTGCGTGAAGGATTATGTGATTGGTGTAAAGTGCTCAGAGCTTATACTAGCATGGGATAGAGCGCTTATAGATGCAATCTATTATTATTATCATTATCATTATAAAAAAAAAGATGTCAAATGTCATTGTTTAAGACACCACATGCACCAGAGGATAAAATATAACGGAGACCTATTGCATGTCGCATGCCACTATTCATGTCAGCAAATCATGCTCGGTGGGAGGGGGAAGCCAAGAGCCCTCAGTATTTACGACACAGCGACGTGCATGGGGAGGGGGTGGGCATTGGACGACCATCCCACATCCCTGTTTATAACACCTCAAACATCATGCATTGCTGGGAGAAAAGGGGAGGGGGTCGGGGGTGGGAACCATACATTGTCATTTGTCACTACTTTGACAAATCATGCTTTGCTGGGTGTGTGTGTGTGTGCGTGGGGGGGACTACTATCATATATCGCTGTTTTAAAACCTTTAAAACCTCAAACATCATACACTGC